TGCCCCGCGCCTCGCCGTGCTGCCGCCAGTTGCGTTCGAGCCTGGTGGTTCGGTTAAGAAACCCACTTGGTCCAAAGATAACAATTTGTGGGTTTATTGGTAGTTTAATTTTGTGATGAATGTTGTATATTTGTTATGAATATTTCAGTTTCTATTGATTACACGAATGTATTTTTTTTATTTTTCTTTTTGTTTATTTTGCGATTTTGTTGTTTTTTGATTGGTTTTTGTATATGATTTTTTAGATATTTTTCATATTATATGATATGAATGGTTTTCATTTTTTTTATTTGTGGTTTCAAGTTTTTTTTCTTTTTTGTTCCGGTAACTTTTGTTTTCTGATGGGTATATGTAATTTGGTATTAGAAATCTTATATATTGAAAATCCTATGATAAAAAATTATGTCCCGTTAAAATGACATTGTTGTAAGTTATATTCGTTTATGTGTCTTTTAGCCGTGCGTGAATATTTTTTGCTCCCCACGCTTTTTTCTTCTCTATTCCAATCCATATATTAATATTTGATTAGGGCTTAATTGCCCAAACCCCAGCTCATTAAAGTCTCCAAATCATCATTTTGAATGTATGCACAAGTCACCTCAAGCCTACTCATGTTTTCTTTCTTAGCCCAATTAATCCTTTTCTTTTATTTTCTTCTTTATTATCCTAAAAATAAATCATAAATATATAGTACTTAAATCCATCTAATAAATAAATAAGTCAAAAAATAATAAGTGCAATAAGATTAAACATATAAAAATTTACTAATATATATATAAAATACACACTTTTTCTGACCAACAATTGTGCAACTATCCTATGAGCAGGTATATATTAAAATATGCGTTATATATTCTATGTATATTGCATATGTTAAAATATATACTTTTTCCGACTAATAATCTGCGTTATATATTCTATGTATTTTTTATATTTATATTGCATATGTTAAAATCTAAATGTATATTTATCATCACATCCTATGAGTTTATGTCCAATGATGACTAACATCATATATTTGATGATATAAATAAAAAATAGACCAACTTTGAACAAAAATTAAGATAGATAGCATATTCATAAACAATTAATAAAAAACAAACAAACTAATTTTACGTCGAACCTGAAACACTGCAATTATTATTTTTAAAAAAAATATATAGAAATTATTAAGGAAAAGTTTACGTTTATTTACAGTCTTATTTTGATTTATTTGATGGTCAACCTAACAATTGTTGTATGTAATTTTTTTGTTTTATTTGGAAAAAATTGTGAAATATGGAATATGAAATAAGTGGGGAGAGGGGAGAGAAATTAAAGGGAATCATTAAATTATTTTTCTATCTATAAATTATTCAACGCACAATTAAGGAAGTTACATGATTCAAACTAAAAATATACTTTATCAGCATAGCTGGGAATATAAAATAACTATCTACATAAAATAGAAATGAAAAACTTAATCTTGGAATAAAATATAATTTATAATATAGATGAAATAAGAAAAGTTGTCCAAGTGTGGGGGTAATTTTTTCGACAACAATCAACATCTACAACCCAATAGAGAAGTCCAGCAAAGGAGCCCAGTTGAGGGAGGCCCAGTTTCTGCAGCCCGCGTCGGTCCGTGCTCCTCACAACGAGTTACCCAGTAATTAAACTCATAATGTTGTGTACAAAAAAATTTAAATATGTGATTTTTTCATGACGAACATTTTATGATGAATAATGTTCGTATGCATTAAACTCTCATATATTTTAATGCATGTCAAATTATAATATTCTCCAAATTTATATGCTCGTGCATCGCACGGTTAACTACAAAAAACATGTAAGTATAAAACTTCAAATTGAAATTTAATATTTCGGTTAGGACTTGGGAATCAAAAATACTAACACCCTTTTTTGCAACATATTTACCACCCAACATGTTTCAATAATTTAAGCATTTATACAGAAAATCATCCTATAGTAACATAAATGACTTAAATTCTGAAATAATACACAGGTCTTGTTTACACATTACATCACCTTTATAATATTACAACAGAATTTATAAACATATTTATGGCAAAATGGCTAATATGACATACATCAAATGTTCAAGAAAAAGATTAAAGCGTTTTAACTGTTATCATTCCAAAATACTGTCATTGCTAACAAAAGCATGAGAAGGGCAAAAGGCGAAAGACCTGACTAGGTATAACCATGAAGCATCCATTGGTGCCTCTCTCTCTCTCACTTTACCAAATTAAGGATGGTTCAAATGTAAATTGTTACTAAAACCGGTAAAAACACCAAAAATCGAATAACAATGGATGCAAGTTTAATATACTACCTCATAAGAACACTTTCTCGTGTTTGAGTAATAAAAGGTATCGGCCCTTTCGTGGCCTAAAATCTAAATGCGTAATAGTAAATAACTATTGAATTAAATATCAATACGACCCACTTGCCGTCATGCCTTTCTTGTTGATGGATATAGTCCAGAGAAGGTCGGCGTCAGATTGCACGGTCACTATTTCCCCTCTTACAATATTTGAAGTGCTGATAAGTCCTCCAAATCTCATTTCCGTATCAGCTGAAAAAACACAGAACATACGAGATGAAATTAGCAAAGTATTTGGTAATAAAGCAAATTTCTCTTTGTATCAATCATAAGGCAACGGAAAGTGAAACCATTCACAAATGCATAGATAGAGTAATGATGATGCTGATGGGTTCAACTTGTGTGACAATCTTTTGACCCCAAATTAGTAAGAACCGTCCACGAGATATGAATTGATTACGAAAAAATTGCACTCATTGCTCAAGAATCCAGATTACAATTGTGTCTTGTTAGAGATATAACAAGACCCTCTCATGATAGTTATAACTTATAAAATACCTCTCTTGAAATGCAACTTCAAGGCTATGTTTGGTAACCAAATAAACGAGCTTATAGCTTATTTGATTAGCTTATAAGCTTTCTGTCTTCAAATAAG